ACTTTTATTGGAGAATCGTCATGTTTTGTTAAATATAAAAGTTTTCTGGTTTTAAATCTCTATGAGCTATTCCTTTAGAATGGCAATAATTTAAAGCTTGTATTATTTAAGTAATACTGATCTTGCCTCTACTTCTGTAAATCTTCCTTTTTCGATAATTCTATCAAATAATTCACCACCTTCACATATTCTATTTTTAAATAAAAATTAAATAATAAGTATATTCAAAATCATATTTTTTACTCCATAATTAAATAAACATTCCTTTCATCTTCATAAGTTTCATATAATTTAATTATATTAGGATGATCCTTTTATTTTTATAAATTATTATTTTAATAAATATAAATAAAAAATATTTACTAATGATCTTGTAATTTCAATTTCTGCTTTAAATCGTTCAGTATTTTTAACTTTGCTTTTAGGAATCTATTTTACTGCTCTTATAATTTTAGAGTCTTTTTTTTTTGCTTTAAAAACACTTCCATAGGTTCCACTACCTAAAACCTAAATTAAAATAATACAAAAAACATTTATGTATATATATATAAATATAAAAATAAATATATAGATTTATATATATATGCTTTAATATTTATATAAATATATAATTCATATATATAATATATATTTCTTTATAATTTGTATTATTATTGTATACTTTTTTAGAATCGAAATCATAATTATCCTCTAAACGTCCTTTACTTGATTGGATAAACCATTATCTTTTGAGATAGACATTTTAATTATCCATATTTTTATTTTTTATAATAATATAAGATTTTTTTTTTACTAATCTAGTTAATAAATTATAGTTAATAAATATATTAATAATAAATTTCAATTTAATATATAAATATATATATATATATTTTTATTTTAATTTATGTTTTAAAAATTTTTGCTTTTTCCATGAATTTTTTTAAAAATATTAATCATTAATTTTTACTTAATATTTATAAAAAAAGTTATTAAAAAAAAAAAAAAAATTAATTTTATTTATAAAGATATTTTTGATTTAGAAACATATATATATATTAATATTAAATAATTAATATGTATTGATTTTAAAAATCAATTTAAAATTCAATATTTTTTATAGAATTATTAATAAGAAATTTTCATATAAGATAAATTATTTATTTTACATTATAATAAGGAAAAATGATAATTTAAAAATCAGATTAAATAAAAAAAATAATTTTCAAAAAATTTTATATTTAAATAAAAATATATTATAATATAATAATTAAAAAAAAATATAAATATATTTTATTTTTTTACAAAAATTATTTTTTATATAATTTTCAATATTAAGTGAATAATTATATATATAAAATAAAAACCTTAATACATTAATACATACTTTAAATAAAAAAAATTAATATTTAATAATAAAAAAATATATAAAAAATAATTTAATTATATTTGAGTAAAAAAATAGAAAAATAATAAATATATTTTTTGATAAAAATAATATTTAAATATATATTTATTATTTGTGAATATATTAATTTTTATATATATATTTTATATTTATAAAATTATAAATTCTTTTATAATTTAAATTTAATATGATTCATAATATATTTTTACTTTTAATAATATTTATTTATATAATTTTATATTATTTTATTAATTTATTTTAATTTTAATTTTAATTTATTTTAAGCACATTATTTTTTTTATTTTTTTTGCTATTTTAAATTTTTAAATTTTTATTTTTAGATATATTTAATTTTATAAACTATTATACATTTTAATTTTTTAAAAATTAATATATTGATTCCTTTATTAAACACTAATAATAAAATGTTTCATTACTTTTTAATTATTATTTTTATCAACATATCTAATTAAATTTATAATAAAAACATTATTAATTTTATATAAATTTGTTCTCGCATTATACATACTTCATAATAATATATTAATATAAATACTTATAATATTTTATTAAATATTTATTGCTTTTAAATTATTTTTATTTTTAAAATAGATATATATATTTTTATTAATTATAAATAATTATTACGAAGTTTTATAGTTTTAGTTATTAAAATTATTTATTGTAAATATAATTAAAAATAATATTTCTTATATATAAATATTTTATTAATTAATATATATATATTATATTTATAAAGATTTTTATATAATTATATTACTTTAACTTTATTTAATAATAGTTGTTTTTATACTTATCAATAAATGTTCTACACTTATTTATGAAAACATATTAAAAATTTTTATAAATTTATATTCTTATTGAATTTTTATTAAAATAATAAAAGCTATTATGTAAATATCTTTTATATTATATTTTTATTATTTTTTATTTTTTCAATATTATTTATAATGAATAATTTTGATTTACTAAAAATTTAAATATTTAATTAGTTTAAAAAATATTATATAAACTATATAAAAAAACTTAAAAGTACATTTTTTTTTAATTATTCCTAATTATTATACAAATAAGTTTTTTATTAATTATTTATTAATGTATATGATTTATTTATTTTAATAAATAAATTAAATTTTCAATATAATTAAAAAATTGCTAATTTTCTTAATTTATTTTATATTTTATATACAATTAAATTAGAAATAAATATTTATTATATTAATTTAAATTGATTTAATAAAAAAAAATATAATTTATAGCATAAAAACAAACATATTCTATTAATGAGATTATTTGAATTTTAAAAAAATATTTATAATATTATAAAATTTTATTTCGATTATATATATTAAACAGATTATAAATTTATTTTTTTAAAAAAAATCTAACAGTTATTATTAATATTTTTGTTTTATTTTTATAATATTATTGATTTTTTTTTTATATAAAATTTTATATAAAACGCTATTTAAATATAAAAACTTTTACATTTATTAAATCAAATAATTTTATAATAAATAAAGTAATATTTTAATTTTTATTTATAATTATTAATTTTTTAAAAAAAATAACAATTAAAGGACATATGTATAATAATCCTTAAAACTTATCTGTAAAAAAAATAAAAATAAAAATAAAAATAAAAAAAGGACCATATTGAATTATAAAAACTACAATTTAAAAAAGAATATTCAATAAATGATGATTAGAGTATATCTTAAAAATATCCATTCGAATATATAAAATCTATAAAGGAAAAAATATAACATTAAACTCCCATATAAGTCACACAAACAGTCAATATTTTAATTTGAAGTATTTATCCTCATTTTATTAACAAAAACCAGATGAAATAAATGTTTAAAAAACAACTAAAAATAATTAAATATAATTAGTTAGAAATTTATGTTTATTAGTAAATATAAAACATTTTTATAGAAAACTGACAACTAATTTAAGAATTTATTAAAAAATGACCCTTTTATAACATGAGAAAATAAACGATATATCAAGCTTTTTTCATAAAAACATTCTTAATATAGCAAATACGAAATCTAAACTAATTTTAATAAGGTCTTATATATATGAAAGAATAGAAGAAACAATGAAAATAATCCCAATATATAATCCTTCTCATTCAGTGAAAAGAATTTGGGATTTGATGCATGCTTTGATAATAATATTGATTTTTTTTTAATTAGTTTGATTATTTTTTTTGATTATAAAAATTTAAATTATTCTTCTTATTTTTAAAACTTTTCTTTTTTAATATTTTCCATTGACATTCTTTTAACATTTAATACTGGAATTAACAAAAAGGGTATTATAATAAACTCACGTAAATAAATAGCCCTAAAATATTTACATAAAAAATTTATTATGGACCTTATTTCTATCACACCTCTTGCCCTAAATTTCTTTGATATGTAAATAAATTAAAGATCTTATTAAAAATTCTCATATATTCTTATTATTTCTAAAATATTTACCTTATACGACATAATCGAAAGACTAGCCTTTTATTTCAGTTTTCAAAAAAACAAAAAAAATCTAGTAGATCTCATAAAACTAATATTAATTATCTGTACTGTTTGTCACTTCTTTTCCGTTATATGGCATGGTCTAGCCTTATATGAAATTTAAGTTTTAGAAAGGTAAGATACATGGATTCATGCCTAAAACCTATTATATGCCAGTGTATAAGTTAAATATATTTATTCATTTTATTATTTAGCAACAACTATGATTACAGTCGGTTATGGCGATATCACCCCCAAAAATCCCATAGAGTTAACATTTTCAATAATAACAATGTTTTTTACAGGAATGGTCTATGCTTATAGTTTAAATTCAATAGGAAATATCATACAAAATATAAATAAGGCAAGTATAAAGTACTAAGAAGATATGGAAGTAATCCATAATTTTATGAGTTAGGAAAATATTGATACCTAGACTAGAATTAGAATTTCTAACTATATAGAATATTTACACAAAGTTAATATATACATATATATAAATAATATATATATAAATATTTATAGAAATCTAATGATTCTTAAAAAGAAAAAGAAAAACTAATTATCTAAAAACTATCAAAACAACTCCAAGAAGATATTCTAAAAGAAGTATAAGGTAAATTTCTTAAAAGTATTCCAATAATAAACGACTTTCTAACTGAAAAAACAAAAATAAATATCTCCCATATAATGGAAGAAATCCTCTATTCTCCTGGCGATTAAATTTTTCGTTAAAACGAAGACGATGATAATTCCATATACTATATTGCTAAAGGCGAAGTCTAATTATTATTAATATAAGGAATTTCTTAAAAAGAAACCTAAATAAAAAATCTCCAAAAAAAATCTTATTTTGGGGAAATCTCATTTATAACTGGCTAATAAAGAACCATAACTGCCCGCGCAAATGATTTTTGTAGAATTTTTAAAATCCAAAGAAATAAATACATCGAAGTAATAAAAAAAAATAATGCCGAATATGAAAACTTCCTTATGTTAAAAGAGACTATTATACTCAAAAATAAGTTTTCCTAAATTAAGTGTTATTAATGTAATATAACTGGCCATATGGCTCTCTAATGTCCCAAAACGCACTTTACAGTATCCAAAAACATAATTTTAAGAAAATATAATTAATCCCAAGCCATTTTAGTGAGAAACCCTCTTCCCAAATTTCGCAAAAAGAATACTATTAATGCCTTTTCGGACATAAACTGTTACCAAAAAGCTGTTTTTATAGTTTTAGAAAATAAAGACCTTGTAAACGCGCTAAATGTAAATTTTAATAATGAAAGAGACAATTTTTCTAACGAAGAACAGGTCAATAATTCCTCGAAATCCTTGGAAACTTTCTCCTATTCTAGCCAAAGTAGTCAAAGAAGCGACTATAGAAAAAAGTCATATGACATATAATAAAGCGATTTGAATGCCTTTTCCAGTCAATCTTCGAAAAATAACATAATGAAATCTAATAAATCTCTCAAAAGCGAAGATTCTTAAAAAGTAATTTCTTTTAATGATTGTCATTAAAATAATAATCATTAATTAAGTTTATTAAATTAAAGAATTTCAGCAAAATAAGTATTTATTGAAGAACTCTCAAATTTATTAAAATAGGGAAAAAAAATATCTTAAAAAAAAGAAGAAAATCATCTCTATTAATTATATAATATTATTTCTTTATAATAATAAGGCTCAAATTTTATTACTTTAAGAAAGTCTTTTTGTCCTTCTGTAGCTAATGAAATAATTTTAAATTAATAAAATAATAATTTAAATAATAAAAAAATACCATTTTAATATTCTAGATATGATACAATATAAACAGATTCAAAATCAGTAGTTTCGTAAA